TTGTATGGCGAAATGGGTTAAATGTAATATTTGCAAATCTGTGTCGCATTTAGAGAGCCTGTGTGATGCAAATGTGCAAGAAAATAAATCCATAAAAAATACTGCGAGGGCAGCAAAACAGACAAATGTTAATTCACTTTTCCTTGAAACACTGAGCAAGCAAATTCCTAATGATATGATTTATTATCAAACATTGAGAGGCCAACTACTCGGAAATAATTCTGCATTTAACACTAAGCTTTTATGCGACTCAGCGTCCGAAAGATATTATATTTGTCAGTCTATTTCCAGAAAGCAAGTTTACCAACTATTGGTAGAGAAAGATTAAGAATTCATACATTTGCATCTTCGAATCCGCCAATACGAGAATTTAAAAGGAAAAGACTTTCTTTAAAAAATAAGCCGAATTCACTCTAATCATCGAAGCACTGGAAGTAAAAACCATATGTTCCAATGCATTACCCAGGCCATCTGCAGAAATTATACGCAAGTTACGCGGACAAGGATTTGACTTATCTGACAGCTGCGATAGTGAAGTGGTAGAGGTACAGATTTTAATTGGGAATGATTATTTGAACCGCATTTTAACGGGGAAAACACATCGTTTAACAGACTAGTTAGTATTGCACGAAAGCATATTCGGTTGGACGTTGAGTGGTAGAGTGGGGGGGAAAGAGTAAGAAGCTAAGTTCAGGATCAGACTCAACCGGTTTGCTTATACACATCGATTCGGAGAAGAATTAAAAATATCGGAACAGATTCGTCAGCTTTGGGAAATTGTCTAGGAATTTCTGAGTGCGCGTCGGAGAGGAGTGCTGGCGATGAGCGAAAACAATTTGAAGAGAATTTGAAATATGTAGACGGGAGGTATGAGGCTCAGTTGTTGTGAAATAGGAGTCCAGAGCATTTGGAAAATAATTTTGGGTTAGCGAAAAGGCAGTTCGAAAGGGTGCGGCAAGAGTTAAAAAGTAACAGCTTTGTGAGGGAACCGTTTATGGAAATAATTAAATTTCAGACACAAAACAACATTATTCAAGAGTGTAAGGATACAAGAGAGGGGTACTTTATGCCATTCCGAGCAGTGGTCCGTAAAGATAAAAAAAGCACTCAAGTTTGAATGATATTTAATTGCAGCAGTTGCGAAAGAGGAAAGCTATCGTTAAACGATTTGTTAGTAAAAGGCCCAAACCTATATCCGAATATTTTGGATATCATTCTTGCTTTTTCGAAACTTTTAAATTGGATTCTGCGGTGACATAGAAAAGGCGTTTTTGATGATTGGGATAGCAAGGAAAGATAGGCAATATTTAAAATTTTTCTGGTATCCTGATAATGACAAGGACTTTAAAATTATGCAAATGAACAGAGTATTATTTGGATGTAATTGTTCACCGTTTTTATTGAGCGCAACGATCAAACATCATTTAAAGAAATACACGGAAACAAACAATAACTGTGTCGAGATGTTAAATAACTCACTGCATGCAGACGATTTGCGTTATGGAGGGGAAAGTGTAGAATCAGCTTTCAGTCTTTCATCAGAGACACTTATCTATTTTGAGAGACGCGAGTTTCAATTTGAGAAAGCTAAACACTAATTCTAAAGAGCTGTATGACTTGTGACTTCAGAAAGGGTTGTGTGAAGAAAGTAGGTCTGAGAGAGATAGTAAGTTGAAAGTGTTAGGCTTGGTGTGGAACTTAGAAGAGGATGGTATGATAGTAAACGTTACATCATTGTTGAGTAGTTTGGAATCATTGAGAAATAGTAAAAGACCGGTGTTAAGCACAGCAGTTAAGGTGTTTGACCCAGTCGGATTTATTTCTTCATTTGTGGTGCGAGTTAAGAGACTGATGCAAGAAATAACGGAGAGAGGTTTGGAGTGGGATTCAGAGTTGCTAAAGGAGTTACGGTGCAAATGGATAAAGTGGGGCGCTGAAATTGAAGAATTAAACAACGCGTTGAAAATAGAGAGGTACTACTTTCCAGAAGTTCTAAGTAAAGGTCATTCTGTTGAAATTCATATTTTCAGTGATGCGTCAGTAGTGGCATATGGAGCGGTGTCATATTTTAGATATAAGAATGAGAGAGGAGAGGTATGTACGTCGTTTATAATGTCGAAGAGTAGGATAGGTCCGTTAAAAAGTTGTCCCTCCCTAGGTTGGAATTGATGGGGGCTGTAGTTGCAGCTAGGTTAGGGAAATATTTATTGAAAATGTTTCAGGATTTGATAAATAGGTTAGTTCTGTGGACGGATTCAGAAATTTGCTTGTGGTGGATAAAGTGGTCAGAGCGTGAGTGGAAGCAGTTCGTGTCGAATAGAGTTGCAGAAATACAAGACTGTACTTCGCCTGATAAGTGGAAATATTGTCCAGGGTCGGAAAACCCAGCAGATAAATTAACTGAAATTAACTTGGTGAAACAGCAAATGCATTGGTGAAGTATAATAATTGGTGGCATGGTCTATCATGGTTGAAAGATTCTGAAGATCTATGGCCTGAGCAGAAGTTTAAAGTAGAAACTGATACTCAAAACAGTCTGGAAAAATTGTTGAAAGTTACAGCTTGGGTAAAGCGGTTTGTCGCCAAGCTAAGAAAACGTACCTGTGAAGAAGGTCCTCTTACTGTATTGGAGATCCAAGAAGCTGAGGAGTACTGGATAAAACAAGTCCAGAGAGAGAATTATTTTTCGGATATTCAACAACTAGAGAGGAATAAACTAATAACACCAGATTCGAAGCTTTACAGTTTAGCACCATATTTGGACAGTAAATGTATTCTGTGTGTCAGAGGTCGTTTGGAACAAGCAGAATTAATAGATGACGAAAAACATCCCATTATTCTGACGAAAACGAAATTCACCGAACTAGTGATATTTAGTGAACACATAAAAGTATTCTATTCAGGAGTCATGGCAACATTGTCCAAAGTCGGGAATAAATTTTGGATACCTAAAGGAAGACAAGTAGTAAAGAAAGTTATTAACGCTTGCCTGGTGTGTAAAAAGTTCGCAGTGAAGCCCGCTAAACAATTAACGGGTCAGTTATCAAGAGATCGTGTAGTCCAAAGTAATCCTTTCACAGTTGTAGGCATAGACTTAACGGGAGCGGTTACTATTAGAGAAAAAGCAGATATCCACAAAAATGTGTACATAGCCTTATTTACATGCGCCGTCACTCGCGCTGTACACATTGAGGTGGTTTCAGATATGTCAGCAAAAAGTTTCATTTTTTCATTACGACGTTTTTCAGCAAGAAGAGGGAGCTGCAAAGGGTGATTTATTCAGATAATGCCAAGAATTTCCGCAGCACATGTGAAATACTTAAGGGATTTCAAAGAATCAGAGCAGAGCCAAGTGTAAGAGATTTCTTGACATCCAAATAGTCTGGAACCAAATTCATACCTGAGCGTTCCCCATAGTGGGGAGGGTTCTGGGAGCGTTTGATGAGAAGCATCAAGGAACCTCTGAAGAAAATCTTAGGGAGAGCATTACTGACTTTCGAAGAGCTCTCTACAATATTAACTGAACTCGAGTGTGTGTTAAATAATAGACCTTAACATACGAGAGCAACGAGCTGGGTGAACTCTCGCCCGCTCACACATTCACAGTTTTCACTGCCAGGACATGACACATTTAACTTTCCTGAGCCTTTTTTGGAAATTTTCAACAAGGTGTCCAGACAAAGAGACTTTAACTAGGAGGAAGCTTTACCAATCTAGGCTCTTAAAATTAACATGGATCAAGTGGAAAGAGCAATATTTACTCCATCTCAGAAATGCGCATAACTTTGCTAATCCTAAAACTGAGCGGAACCTTAAGAGTGGAGACGTTGTGTTGGTAGAAGGACCAAAACACTCCAAACTACTTTGGGACATGGGTGTAATTGAAAACGTGATTATAGGAAGAGATAGACATGTTCGAGCGTGCCTCGTTCGAACGCCCAAAGGACAATTCAGAAGATCGATCCAAATGTTATATCCTTTCGGGATTTAATTTAGAATTTTTGATGTTATTGAGTTTTTATTATTATATTATTAATTATTATGTTCATTTGTGGCTTTGATATATACTAGTATAGATTATTCTTTGAAATTATTCATTTATACATGTCATACTATTTAGTATTAATCCATTATTAATTAATGTTAATATTGTTATCTAGGTAAGTTTGTGTACTCTTATTAAAGAGTACAGGTGGGGAGTGATGTAGAAAAAAGAGATAGAGGGCGCTGCGCCGCCCGCATGTTTAGCTAATTAAGAGTTTTCACCCGAGAGAGTTGAGAGTTTGATGAGAGTGGTTGAGAGTGGTATAAACTTAGATATCCTGTAATCTGTATATAATATTTGTACATAGTCTTCTCTTCATTAAATAGCTTTAGTTAAAGGAAAGTGTCTTTACTTGATAATACAACATATCAAGATCCACCGATGCCGAGTATGGAATATTAAGTAAGTTATTACATACAATAATTACAAGGAACATGAAGCAGAGTTATCCAAGCTAATATATACTACGACCTCATACTCCCATCTCCATAAACTAACCTATATAGCTCTTGTAGGGAAGATGGCGAAATGTGAATGTAGAGGATATCTATTGTTGCTATAGCTATTGTTGCTTTTTCTCCTAATTGAATGAGAAAAATCAGTAAGATGATTCGCCGCTGGTTCATCCAGTACCAAAGCAGGTCGCACAATCAAATCTTCACTTTTCAATGACTTTCCGCTGCCAAATCAAAACATAAGATAACATTTTAAATCATTGAGTTTCGAACAAAATTTGTGACATCTGTGGCTGCATGTTAGTTTCTATGACTAGGCTTTTGCATAACAATTCAGAATTTGCAATTGTATATTGAAATCCTTGATCATAAGTAATTTAATAGATAAGCTCACATAAATTTTGGGATTTCAATAATTTTATAAAATTATATTCTAGTGATTGATATCATGCACATACCTTGTTGAATATTTAAATAATTTCAAATATATCTTCTTTCAGGGCACGGGAAAAGAAACAATGAGCAACTTTCTGCACTACAATTGCTTCTCCAGCAAGCCCTGAAGGGGAGGGACCAATATCCTCTTTATGACTACAGATTGCCAGAACGAGATACTTACGACATATTAAGAAGTTTCACCGACTTGAAAGTGCTGGAGGACAAAACAGTAAACAAAAATGAATAAATTAATAATACATTGTGTAAAACATAAAATACGGAGTTTCTGAGGCAATGAATAAAAATACTTTTTATGAAAATAAAGAGGCAATAAATTGAAAATAAAATTTCCTGCTCTGCATCCGTTGCTTTTCACTTTCATTTGCTGAATAGGTTTGATCAAAAATTCTTACAGTCATTCATATTGTACTTACTGATTGATATTGATTGTGACTATTGAATACTGATATTTTTTATCAGTATTCATACTGTAAGTAATGAGAAAGCAGTAAAATTTACCACATAGTGAATGAATAAAACCGTAGGATACTTTTCGAATAAAGGTAACTTCCCTGCTTTCTTCTGAAGCAAACAAACCCCACCTCTTTTCTGCCCCTTAATTTTAAAACTGCATGCTTCACTGAGATGTAGAAAGCTCCCTTAACGACGTAAGAATGTTTTCGCTAAGCGAAAATAGCAATAGTTTTTTTTTTTTTTTTTTTTTTTTTTTTTTTTTTTTTTTTTTTTTTTTTCACGAAAGTTGAAATTTGTGGTTTAATTAGAATAAATTAAAATTATTCTGTACCTAACTTACCCTCTGGCATTTAAATTGGTAATCTAAGAGTCTAAGATACGTAATTTAATTTGTCTACGATTTGAACTCATTCTTATGGTTAGGACTGAGTTTTGCGTCTATGGGGCTTATACATTCAAACAGGAATATTTAAATTTCCTATCTGAGTGCACCGTAACTTTTGCTTCAAGTTCTGCTGAGTTCTCTTTAAAGGTTCTGGCAGTTTGAAAAGTGAATGCAATATCAAATGTCGTGCATTTAATATATTTGCATTCACGGAAATAAGTGGTAAATTTACAGTAAGTGGTATTTTTTAATATATTTGCATTCCCGGAAATAAGTGGTAAATCATAATGTTTTCCATAACGAAATTTTACTTCTTTGGAAGGGGAACATTAATATTCTGAGAAAAATCCCTCGAAAACGATAACTTAAAATCTCTCTCATTCAGTATCATTCAGTTATTGGCTACAGGTGGAATAAATGCATATCTGTCTTATATAGCATATACAACATTCATATATAACATGTCATATAGAGCAAACATATTTGAAAAAAAAAAAAAAAAAAAAAGCTGTGAATTTTCAGCCATTTCTATCCATTATAAGGAGACGCGTGTTTTCCATTTAGCATCAAATTACAACTCGTCTGTCCAATTCTTCCATCATGTTCAAGGCTTTAGTATTTTAAATTAGAAGTGCTGAAGCTCTGTGAGAGGTCATTTCAAACTGTGAACAAACATAAATAAATAAAATATTCATTAATAAAAACTATGAATGAAAGAGAATTTTAATTAATTTGAAAATTAATCTACAGAATCAATTCACAGTTCATGTTAATTTATAAATTAATATTATTACATAGATATTATAATATAAGTATTTACTATTCTAAATTAAAACAGAACAGGCAAAGTATGATATAAAGTTGAAAAATTCAAATTTAAAAGTTAGTGTTGTTGTGTTGTGACTTATTTCACTTGTCTGACAGTAGCATCAGAACAAACCCGCGAAATTTAGAGTGGCAAGGACAGCAAGATTGCGCTTGTAGTTGGCAAGAGTCTAGAGCACCATACATGTGAAAGTACGAATACGCTCAGTTTCGCACCAAATTTTGATAAAGAGCACCTCAGGGGGACGGGTCCAAGTGTCTCCCACCCCCTTTCCTACCATCAACCTCTAGAGAGGACTTTCGGCTAGCAGCCATATAATTAGAATGCCCCATGGTACAAAGACACTATACATTTACAAACATCCATGCCTTCTCTGGGATTCGAATAAGGCACTTCGGTACCGCAATAAGCTTCCCTAACCACTATACAGTCTGGGCGGCTTAAAAGTTAGTGAAAACTACTGCATAACTTGGACATACATATATTGCAATTTCTTTCGAAGGTACACTTAAGCAACTTACAGATATGACTTAACTCAAATTCTAGTTTCGTAAAGATTGACGGTAAAGATCATTAAATCAGGGAAAGGGGTGTTAGTGTATTCTGTAAGGTAGTCTTAACGTTCTTGTCGTGAAGAAAATGACTGCAATCAATTAGGAAACAATTTAATTCATGTGTCGTTTCTGTTAGTATAATTAGTTTGGCATCAGCACTAAAAATTCGAGGCCGTTGGTTGATGTTGGCCGTTGGTTGATTCGCCGAACGGTTAGAGACAAAAGTAAATCATCTGTCTGTCATAACAAGCTCCTTCAGTCTCAACTCCCAAAGACGAGTGGAAATTTCCAAAAATGCACTCAAGAATGTTCATAACAATCCGGACGTTGCAGAAATTTCTCAAGACAACACGTTTTTGCCTTTACACGTCAATAATGAAATGGGTACCACAAATGCAGACAATGACTGAGAGTTTAAGCAACCAACCAGAATAATGGAGAAAATCCCTCATTCTGTGATTACAGAACCCAAAGTAAAATGGTCTGCACTTAAGGAATAATTGCAGGGACCTTGGAGTAGGAAAACTCGAAGGCCTTCTCTGAGGTGGTGAATTAAAAATATGATCACTTAACACAAACGACTATAGCAAAATCCAAAGCTTTTTTCTCGATAAAGGTGTTACTTTTCTCCCGTACACGCTATACAAAGATAGACTAATTAAGGCTATGATTAAAAATCTACACGTTAATTCATCTATTGATGAGATAAAGCTGGAGTTGAGCGAAAAAGAAATTCCTGTAATCAGAGTTCGTTAACTAATAAAATATGAAGAGAAACGTATCCCTTTACCATTATTTCTTCTTAAAACTAAATGGAAGGATAAAGGTAAAGAAATCTACAAAATTATTCATATTCGATGGATTAAAATAAATTCAGAACCCTATAAATGAAAATAAGAACTGCAACAATGTCGCAGTTGGCAGCATTTCGGCCATAATCAATCCTCTAGTCACAATCGAGCTAGCTGCGTGAAATGTGCCGGACAACACGAAACTTATTTATGCAACTACAAGAAAGAAGACCCAGGTACCTGAACTAACTGTGGTTCAGAGCCCATCTCAAGCTATGAAAGTTGTCCTAAGTATCCGAAGCCTTTAAAACCAGAACTGAAAAAAAAAAAAAAAAAAAAAAACGAAGTAGTACGCCCATGATAAAAAAATATAGTTTTTCTCCCCTTGAAACTAAAGGAAAATCAACCGACCCAAATTCTTCACAACAGGCCAATAATTCCAATGTTAATCCACAACAGAAGGATTACAGAAATTCTAGAGCATCTTCCAATGTTAGCAATGCTACAGAAAGAAAAGAGACCCCTTCTTTTACTGCATAGATTAAAAATGTTTTTTCAGAAGGCAAAAAAATTATTGATAAAATTTAAGCCTGCTACATTATTTTTAGATAAAATTCAAATTAGAATTAGAATTTATTACATCCATAGATTATAAATTTTAATCAAGCTCGCTCAGTATGTCATTATGAATCCAAATGAAACAGAGAACTGTTTCATAAATTATGCCTAATTTAATGCAAATGGCATTCGCCGCAAAATTCATGGATTTTGCGGCGTTCATGTTTCTATCAAGTTTACTCCTCTTTCATTTCCACTTTCCTCAAATCTCGAAGTTATTACCGCAATTATTTGTACTAAATATAAAGAACAATATCTTATAATTTGAGTATATAATCCTCTACCTAATCTAATTACTCAGCCAGATTTTAATAATATTACCCATTTTTCTCTCCCAATTGTTATTACAGATAACTTCAACTCCAAAAGCCGACTTTAGAACTCAAGTATCCCTAAATGCTAACGGAAGCATTCTGGAAAATTAAGCTATTCACAACAGAATAAAAATTATTGGTCAGTCAACTCCAATAAGATGTCACATTAACGGGAATGGTCAAGTTCTTGACATGCTTCTGCAAAAATATGGCGCAAGGTCCTCAAGTAAAGGATGTTTATCTTCTGATCACCTGCCTGTTCTAATTACTTTCAACGACATGTATTCACCAACTTAACGCTAAAGAATTAACTGGATGAAATTCAAAGAACTTTTATCTCATACAGGGTGTATCAGTAGAGCGGTGACAAACTTTCAGGACAGATAGAGTACACCTAGAGGATGGGAAATTCCATAGCAATGCTTTCCTGGTGCAGTAGTGACGACACAAAACACAAAAAAGGAAGGACACAAACAGCGGGACAAAACATGTTTTATTATGTTTAGTACAGCAGAAACCTACAAATAACAACAAAAACAAGCAATAATCGTAATTAAAGAAGGTGTTAGAAATTACGACCCCGAGCCGTGATGCAAACCTTACTTCTCTGGCGCATGGAAGATCGCATGGAAAATGCATGACGCACGGTTCCTGCATCACGGTCCGAGTCCGTAATTTCGAACGTATTCTTTGATGAGTTGTTTTTCTTTGTTTTTGTTCTACTCCTAATAATAAACATGTTCTCTCACCCTTTGTTCGTGTCCTTTCTTTCTTGACTTTTGTGTTGTCATTACTGCTCCAGTAAAGCGTTCCGACCATGCATTCCTATGTGATTTCCCATCCTCTAGGTGTATCCTGTCTCTCCTGAAAGTTTATCACCACTGTACTGAAACGCCCTGTATTAATGCAAATACTTCTCTTCATAATATCGCATATATTATAAGGCAATTACCTCACTCAGTCACGAAAGAAATTACTCAGTCCTCAACATGTATTCCCTCGACTTATACTTCATTGCGTAATCACATTTTGGAAGTCATTAAAGAACAAAAAATCACCTTTTCAAGCGCTGGAAAGTTTCAAGAGGAACAATTTTTAAACGTCAACTTAAAAATTGTTAAACGACTCTAAATGTTAATTCTAATTACAGAATATAATTCTGATCAATGAGATAAATTAAAAATCAATATAAAAATTCAATCAGATACATTCTGGAAAATAGCTAAATCTCTTCCATCTGACAAAATGACCGATACTGCATAAAAATTTTCCTGTCCAGTCAGAATCCGACATTGCTAAAATTTTTTAGGATATACTTGAAAGTTTTGTAAGAGTTTTATATACGGCTCGGTGTTAGTTCTTACGAAATATGAATCCTCGTTGC